CTGAGAAGAGGTAATAAATTTGGTTTTGTGTGTGGAAAAAATCGAATTTTTGTGGAATGGATAGAGGGAATGGATTCTTACCCTCCCAAGTTCGACGGGTACCCCGCTTTTATAAGCGAACTCCTATCCAAGTTCCGAGGATCAACGTGGTTACCCGTAGCAGGAGTTCGGTCCGGCTCTAACCGAACCCGAGATTAACCGTCGGAAGAGACAAGGACACCGAATTGACCTGGTTTGAGGAAGGCGTGCGTGCGTTCGAAGTCCTGAAAGAGGCGTCCCAATCCGCCCCCGTATTAGCCCTCTTTGATGCTGAGCTAGCCACCAAGGTTGAGACCGATGCCTCCAACTCCGCCAAAATCTAACATATGGTCCCAATTCCACTGAGATGACAATAAGTGCCATCCAGGAGTCCTTTACTCCAAAAAGGGAATTCGCGAGCCGAACGGAATTATGAAGTTCACGACAAGGAGTTAGGTGCCATTGTGTCATGCTTCAACGAGCGAAGTCACCCAGGAGGAACCTCCAGCCGGAGGGAAACCTCGGTGGAAAAAACCAGAACCCAGAACCAGCGGGTAATAGTGGAGGAGATGGAATAGTCCCCCCGGTTGGTGGCGCTTTCCAACACAGGAGAGAGAGAACTCAGATAGTTCAGATTCGGAGCATGAGGATGGAGAAAGGTGAGGATGGCGGAGATACCTCAGGAAGATGCTGGAGAAGCAGCAGAGAGAGAGAGCTCTGGCCTCCATAGCCCAGTTCATGAGACCTCCGGCCCCCCCTCACTCCCCTCCACTGCCTCCAGTGGCCGAGAACCAAAGACACCCCCTCTGGCCAAGTTCAATGGCAAAGCAAATAATGTGCGGACCTTCATCGGGCAATGTGAGAATGTCTTCTCCATTGAAAGCCAGTCTTTTACCTCCGAAGAGGTTAGGATCCGATATCTTCTGCCAACCAGATAGCTGGGATGTCTGTGGTGTGAGATGAGAGATGGAAGCGCTGAGATTCCTTTGTGGATGCTCTCACAGAAGCCTTTGGCGAAGCCATCTCTAGGGATGATGCGGTAGCCTAATGGAATAACCTCACACACGCAGCCAAGGGAGGAACAGACTCCTCCCGAATAGCATTATTCAGCTGATGTGGAAGACTGGCTATGAGGGTCAGTTAGTGAATGATAAGATCCTCAGTTCCCTCCTTCCGGACCTAGGCACGAGTTGTGCTCTCTTTACCCCGTTACACTCTGGGCTTCCTCCAGCCTGGGTTTGCCAAGGGTTTATCCCCGGAATCCGACAGAGCAAAAGGCACTGAAACCGAGATAAGCTCGAGGGGCGGCCTACCTCGCAGTGTTTGGCTTCAAAATTGTATACCGCCCTGGAAAACTAAAACGCCAGAGCAGACATCTTGTCGCGGCGTTGGGACCACGCCCTTAAAGAGGGGGGTAAGGCTCATCAAGACCCTGAAATTCGCTTGTTTAAGCCAGGACAACTCATAATGGGTTCTGTCCAATACCCGATCGTTATGATCAACTCAGCATGGACAAGAGCAGCCCAAGTCTGCAAAACTCACACCGGTGCTCCCGGATGAAATCTAGGCTCGAGCAGCCTTAGATCCAGGGTACCTTTCCTTGAGAAAAGCCATTGAGAACACCTCCGGGAATCTGGTGAACCGAGACCTCACTTTAAAGGATGGAGACGTCTTCTATAAGGAAAAGTGGTACATTCCAAATCATCGAGAACTGGAGCTCAAGATCCTGAGCGCCCTACATAATTCGAAGACTGCTGGTCACTTTGAACAATTCAAAACGGCAGAACGCCTTCAGGCACTCTCCTTTGGCTAAAGATGGACAACAATGTGGAAGAATACGTTCGGAGTTGCGATACATGTCAACGCGTTAAGGCCTCAACACACAAGAAGTATGGGACGTTGCAATCTTTAGAGGTCCCCTCTATGCCTTGGAGCTCCATTTCAATGGACTTTATCGCAAGCCTGACTGAATCTGAGGGCTATACCCATATCTGGGTTATCGTTGACCGTTTTCACCAAAATGTCCCAATTCATTCCGCTCGAGACCAAAACAACCATTCAAGAGCTTGCTCAAACCTTCCTATGGGAGATATGCCGACTGCATGAATTTCCTGAGGAAATTATCTCCGATCGGGACTCTAGATTTGGAAGAGATCGTCCTCAAACTGACGGACAAACTGAGAGAGTCAACCAAACGCTAGAACAATATCTCAGAAACTATTGCTTCTATCAGCAGGACGATGGGGCAAGAATACTCCCATTTGCGAGTAAGCCTACAACACGGCCACCCAAAAGTCAACCAAAGTATTGCCGTTCTACGCGAACTATGGGTTTCAACCAGATTCCACTTGGCCCTCACCTAAACGGAAACTAGAAAACTTCGACGCGCCCAGCGCGGCGCAAGCACAGCGAAAGAAATGGTTGTCGGGAAACTTGGTGTCACGTCCTACAGGCTGAATCTACCCTCTCAGTAGAACATTCATGATGTTTTCCATATATCTCTGCTGGAACCGTATTGGGAGTCAAAGGATCATCAACGAGCTATAGCGATTCCACCTCCGGATGAGGTTCAAGGATGATCGTGGGGGAGAAGTTCATGCAATATCGGATTACCTGGGAGAGCATCGCTCAGAAGACTTCCGGGAACCTTACAAAATGTTGCAAGGAACGACAGACGAGACGCTCCGAGAGTTCCATCCGAAGTATCCCGGAAAATCACAGGGCTCATGGGTGAAACTTTAGAAATCCTCAAAATACGGCGTTTTTTCCCATCGGTCTGACAGTGTTCGGATGCCGATGTTTCCCTGGGAAGCAATACAGGAAAGTGAAGGAAACCGAGGCACGGAGTGTTCTGGGACAAGCGTGGAGAAAACGGGTCTCCCTTTGTTGGGATACACGTTTTTCACTTGAGGTTTTCCTTTGTTAATAGAAATGGATGCGGAAAATAGAGTGTAACGGAGCCATTTCAACTGTCTGGTGTATGAGTACACACAGGGCCCGGTTACATGCTGAGAGTTATTGATAGAAGCCAGTTGCACAGTGACATGCAAGTACCGGCAGTGTGGTTAGCTACCAGCTGTCAGAGTAACTACATTCTGAGCGCTAGGAAGAGGATCTATTCATGGGAGCAATGACTGACGAGTCTATGCCTCGCCAATGATTAGAAGGCCGGCCAGAGTGAAGCTCTGAGTGCTCAGCGATCCTCTACATCCTCCGAGCATGATAAGTCCGCCCGTAGTGGCAGGGACTATGCCTGGGAAAGTCTACAATAAGTGAAGAGCTCTACAGCAATGATTAAGCTTACGCCTGAGCGGTAGCTCATTCATGCAGGTCCCCGTTATGCGACAACCAAGACTGCAGGTGTTACAAAGGCGTTGACTAAGGGTGGTTGCCTTTGGAACAGGAAGCACCCGCTAACGCTTAGAGAGAAGCGGGGTAGCGGTGGTAGTGCTTCCCTTCCACTTGAAGGAATCACCAGAACTTAGTAAGGAAGTAGGAGCAGAGAATGGAATCCTTTGGAGTAGAAGTACTCAGGATCCTTCTCGCCCAACTATCCGATTTTTGATTTTCCATCTTGCACGGCCACACCTTTTCTACCGGATCCTAGCGATACGTGGAAAGGCTGTCCCCGGTACATAAAGTCAGTATGGAATCGTTATTAGAGCTACATTTTCTTGTATGCGCATAATGTACCATACCAAAAACCCTAGGTTCGACTCGGGACGAGTCTACCGGAGAGGGGGGTAGTGTAACAGAGCCACAGTAGGGCTGTTACAAAAGTAACTGTTCTACCAGTCAAGCCATACGACCCTAGGGTAATCACCACTTGTTCTTCACGATGGGTGAAGATAAGGGCAGATGACCCCTACCTCTATTGGTATGAAGGGTAGGGATCCTGGCGAGCAAGAAGTCTTATAAGTCAAGCTAGGCGACTGGACCAAAACTAGAGCAGAAGGACGAGCATGCCAAATACGGAAGGGTAACCCCAAACATAAGTTACCCTACCTTGGAAGTCAACCTTTGAGGTGCAATAACTTAGCAACCGATGCTCGGAAAATATGCTTTACCACGTCAGGAAGGATCCTGACGATGCTCCGGTCCATTTGGGGTGGTTGAATGAACGGATTGCGGAGTTGAGGAAACACTGCAAAATAAACCCGTTTTAGACCCCAAAAATAACCCCCGGAGCGTCGAACCGCCGGAACCCTCCTGTTTCAGCCCGGAGCACCTTTGAGGGGGAGTAGGAGTACGACCCAAGCTACTAAAAGCAAACCTCGCTTTACAAAAACACCAAATCTGTTCTAAAACAAATTGAATAAGCAATTGCTATCTGGTCGGTTGTTTCCGCTAGTTCTTAGGATCCCGACCAGCTCTTGGCAGAGATTGCGTGATTTGACTCGGGCGGAAGTTCGTCCGAGGGGTGGCAGCAACTCCTCTCGCCCCTCATAGAAAAAAGTCGCGGTGTCCCCGGACTAGGGGGAAAAACAGAAGGGTCTAGGGAGAAAAAAAAAGCGGAACTTCGATAAAAGTACTCGGTTGCCCCCCAGTTTGAACTCGGGGAGGGATGGAATCTTTACTAGCGAGGAGACCCCTTAAAGTTATTAAGTTTTTAGACTACAAATACGATCAAACAAATAAACTCCATCTTCCGATCGAACGAGCCCAAGGAATCCATCGTTGCCCGTTTACCCTTTCTATGTCAGATCGAAGTCACGGTCGTGTATCATCCTAGCACCCCCGTTACAGGCACCGCAAATGCTCTCACGCACCGCGAATGCTCCCGCGAATGCTCCCGCGAACGCTCCCACGAGGGCTTCCGCGAGTGCTCCCAGAGCACTCACCAATGCTCACAGAGCTGAGGCATTCGTCATACCCACTCAAGGTGAGGCAACCCTCATTTGGGCTCCTTTGTATTGATACACCGTCCTCAAAGGATAGGAAGGCCGCACCAGTCCCTCAAAAGATATCTAACGTGGGTATCCTCAACGCCGCTGTACGGTCAGTCGCGGGATACTGATACGAGCACTGTCCTGTATACTGGTGACGACTACCCAACCTTTGACGGACGTGTATGATTCTGTCGATTCGTGAAAGGCATAATTAGCCTTGAGGTTGAGGCCATGGTACGGCTCGTCTGAAAAGCTCAATGTCCATGCATAAGCAGCAAACATGGACTGGCATTGACATCCTGGAGCGAGCTTGCTGGATAGCCAGACTCAGATACTGAGCGGCCGAAACTTTACCTCCTTCTTCCAATCCGCATGCATAGCAGAACGACACGAATTTTGAATTAGAGAGTCCAATTGGGTCTAACGTTCCTAGAGCACTCAAGAATGCCCTCACGGCTTTACAAGTATTCAACTAAATTCATTCCACGTACGCAAGTCTATCCTAGTATTTACCAACCAATTACCAGTCTCCACCTCAAACAAATGGGCCATTCCCAATATACTCCGAATATTAACGACCCACATCCTCTTCCTCCTCCTCCTACAAACCTTCAGGAGCCCATGTGAGCTATCAGCGATACCACGATCCTTTGCCTCGAGTAGCTCCACTATACATAGTCTATGTGCTCGCCCCCCACTGTCCCGCAGCTTGAACAAAGCCTCGACACGTCCTGGTAAGCGTCCCCGAAACACTCCCCACTCCTCTGAGGACGCTACTGACACCCATACCCAATCCTTTCTTATTTTCCCTTTCCTAAAAGCCGCGTTTCCCGTACACCTGATATTGTGAACCTCGTACACCTCAGGTCTTTGGAAGATTGGTATCGGAACCTGCAAACATGTGAACATCTCCACCCGGCGCTCTAAAATGCTCTCAGAGTTTCCGGCAAAGCTTTGAGAGCATCCCGCATCCTCTGCATACTCCTTCATCAGGCGATATAACGTGGTATGGCTTATTTGCAGTCCATCCGCAATATTGAAAAGTCTTTCCGATTTCGTGGAGGGGTTGCAAAGACGCCTTAGAGGCAGTCGGCCTTCTACTATGGATCGTTCATTTGGTGTTTTTTTCCGGTCTTCGATTTTAAAAATCTCAAGTAACTCCTTCAGGTTATCTCGATGGCTCCAAAGGATGTCGTCAGTGCTCTCAGGACCTCCAACAATGTCTTTCAGATTCAGCATTCGAATCTCTAACGCCAACCGCCGCCCCCCATAGTCCAGTATCTGCGTTGCAGCATCGACCTTGTTGGATGCTCCGTATGCCTCTTTTATCTGACGTACATGGGCGAGTTCGCTGATGTCGGTGGAGCACTGGGGAATGCTCCCAAAGCGCTCGACATGTTCCCGATAGTGCGTTAACACGTACAATTTGATGGAGTTGAAGTGAGACCTTTCCCGTATCTCGCGAATCTCCTCCAAACCTCGCTGAGCGCTCTGGGAGCCTGAGGTCTTCACAGCTTTTGTCCGATCTCTCGCATCCTTAACCGTCCTCTTGTACGCCCGGAATTCTAAAAAGATATCCTTGTGCTTATGGAAATCCTCGAGATAGCTCTCCATATAATTCAGTGTGCTCGTCTTATGACTCCCATACTGCGCCATTAAGTGGAAGTCGATTAAGCCTCGTACACATTTCAATGCCTTTGCGAAGTCGCCCCTGACAGCCACCCCCGGGTTTCTCAAAGCAGCCGCGAGTGCTCCAAGAACGACCCGCCCCAGATTTCTCATCTCCTTCCCTTGCCATTGGGTTGTGGCACGATATGCCTTGTTCGGTACTGCCAGTCCAGGGTAAGGCGCAATCGAGGCCCAAGCTTTGTCAAATTCCTCCAATCGATTGTGCTTCTTCAAGAAAGCCTGAACCCACTCCATCATGTGCTTCAACATCCCTAGGTATATATTGTGCAGAATGTCCGGTTTGTTGAGATCGTATGGATTAACCCTCGGCATACCCCAGAAAGCATTGAAGAGTGTCTTTACTGATCTCGCGACAAGGTATTCCACCGGTCCCAGGTTTCCCGGGTTCTCCCTGAATAGCTTTACCCTCTCCCGGTAATCCTCGTGATCGCGCGTAGGGCTCCGGCGAGTGCTCCCAAGACTGTGGAATTCCACCTCGCATCTTGGACAAGAGCTAGTACTAATATTTTGTAAGTTTGAATGCTCAGGTTGATCAGCGATCCAACCCGACAACACCGGAAAGCATAGACGTTCGTACCCGTCGGCGCATGCGATTAGCTCACCTTCCTGAGAGCACTCCCGAATGCTCTGAAAGATCTCCCCAAGGGCGCGATGCAGCGCCATTTGACTCTGACGTCGTAAAGCGGAATTAGCGAGTGAGTTCTTCCCGAGCTTAGGTGGGACTGGCAGTAGCCCTAGGAGAATTAACGAATGCCCGGTGGGCTTGCTCCGGACCGATGACTTGATGTTCCCGATGGTAAGATAGATTGGCCAGGCTTTCTTGTCCCCACTAAAATTTGTCAAATGTGTGCCATCTGACGCGCATATAATTGGTACCACAGTCGACCCCTCCGGTAAGGTATTCTGTCCAGAAAGCATTAGGGACTGCCTCTAGAGCACTTGTGAGGCTTACCAGACCTGCGTCTCCCACCACAAATCTCCCGTATGCATTTCCCCGTACATTCTCTCGCCAGATTCATTATGCTCTACCACTGGCGCGTACACCAATGACTCCCGAAAGGCCCGTTGGCCTAGAAGATATCGCACAATTACCATTGGATCCCGGTAATAGTAAGGGATTTTCTCTCCCCCAATATCCACCTCCGAATGATGCCAGCTCGCCTTTCCCAATATGTCATTCATTTCGTCCAACCTTTTTATAAAACCTCGCCCAGTCCTGTAGGAGCATTCGCCACTGCTTGACGGAGCGTGTAGAAAGAAACTGTCGATATTTCCTTGTGAGGCCTTCGACAGTATGAAATAACGTGCCATTCTAAACTCGTATGCTGAGTTGAATGGGTGCCACGGGTATCGGAGAAGGTTTTGTGAGCATTCGTCGTAGTCCTCCGAGCGGTAGAGACGCTCCCCAGCACCCTCGTAAATCGTTGTCGCTGCCTCATGCCTATTTGCATCTCCATCTGTCTCTTCCATCATAAAATATGATTCGGATTCCAGATCTGAATTATTATCGGGATCTTGGTCATGATAATTGATACTGTTGCTCTCCGAACTATCCGAGTCGTCATGGGCATCTGAATAGGAATCGTGAATGCCTTCCGGGCTGTCGTGAGTGTCATCGGGTGCCTCTTGATCGCGCTCCAGGAGTAAAAATTGGTTTCCCAGCCATTCATCTGCTTCAAATGGATGTGTAGTTCGAAGATGTTTATCGAAGTTCGCGGAGGAGCTGTACCGCTTGCTGCAAAAGGGGCAAGACGATTTCATTGAAGTCTCATGATGCTAGCAAAGCACTCCTGAGTGCTCTAAAAATTTGGTTCCTGCCAAGGCCGAGGAGGCTCTTTCCTGCAGGTGCTGCTGCAGAGTGCTCGAATGATTTGATTTGTCAGCCAATGAGGCTCCTCTCACCTGCACCCCGGTCGGCAAGGCTGATTTTCAATACGAGTCTGATGTCATACATCACCAACCTAATACAAACATCAACACCAACACGAAGAAACACCCACCACCCCAATCAGGCGGCCAGTTATGCTAGATTCTATCGCCCTGAGCATCTGCACTCTCTCCCTGAGCACTCGCGGAGTCTCTTCAGATCGAGACAGTGTTCTCAGCGCCAAATTCAACACTAATATCGACTACGAGCTCAAAGAATACATTCTCTCCGAATCAGCTTCCTAGAGGACAGAGTACCAACACCAACAAGAACACAAGCACCAACCCCAACACCAGAATGTTATCGACGTCACCATTGGTACCGTCAGAGCATCCCCGAGTGCGCCTGGAGCATTTAGATCAACGTCATATATTGAAGCAAACATTGAGTACGAGCACCCTCGAGTGCTTCTAGAGCATTCGTGGGTGCTCTCGGAAGCGTGATAAGCTCAAGAAAAAAGCTGATCGTACTCGGTATAAGAGCACCCCTCCCTTCCTTCAAGTTCGTGAGAAGTTCCTAACCACCTTCAAGTTCTCCTCTACCTATCACTTCAAGTTTTCCATTGCTTTCAACATTACCTGTTGAAATCTCATCCTTCAAGTTCCTCCGTTTTCAAGCCATTTAATCTTTGCAATCTTTATAAATAAGATGGTATTTCTCTCTCCTAATCCAATTAATTTTAGAACCATACTCACCACAGTGATACATTAACATTATCAGACTCCAAACACCGCTCAGAGCACTCCCGGTAGCTCACAGAACATAAATCAACTTCCCAATAAGAAGCGCTTGCGTGACATAGACGAAGACGATAACGAAAAGACCCACCGAAAAACCAAGAAACACAAATCGTCCCGAAAACATAAGAAACACCGAACTTCCTCAGGTCACAAATCGTCCCGCAAAACTGTCAAGCCTATCCCGGAGGAGATACCAGAAACACCCCCTAAGCAGTCGCCAGTGCTTTCCGGGTTCACCCCGATCAACAAGAGCTGAAAACAAAACCCTGTACCTCCACCAATCCGGACTGAAACCCGGACTCCGCCAAATACTAACCTAGCTCCATCGGACACTGAAGGGATCTTCCCGAGTAACTGGGGAGCAACCCTAACTGATTCCGACTCCTTTCCCGACTTTAGTTCCGAACCCTCTGAACCATACATAAGTGACGATCAAGACCCAGCAACAGGTCCAACAACAGGCCCACTAGCAGCAGTCTCCACTGCTTCCTCAGCACGCAGCAGTGCTTCACCAGAGGCCCTTGTACGGACGACCGTACTTATGGTTAGTGCTACCCCACCAGCACCCGCTAGTGCTCCACAAAAGAACTGTTGGAATTTACGGTGAACTTTGTTTCTTTCATTTACTTCGTTAATATCTGTCTATCTCCATACATTTCATTACGGGTCATTTGATAAGGAATACAGGGTTTATACCGTTAACTATTTTCTTTTGGGTTTCTATTACGTTTCTACTTTACATATGGGTTGTCATCTCGGGTATTACTTTCCTATGTTGGAACATTGAGTCATATACTTATGTACGTGATCGGACACTTACGCAACCGACACTTTTCTATCTGTTTCCATACTTCTTGGCAGTTTCTCAGGGTCAAATGGCTTTCCCACCTGTTTAGTTCTCTTTTCTTTCTCGGTTGGAAGGGACACGGTTCTTGTATAAATATCGGGCTGTTTTTCTCTTTCTTCTGACTTTGTCAATCAAGCGATACATATAATATAGACATTAGAACCTAGCTTTCCCGCTTTCGTCTCTCGTCTAAATTCTTTGAATTCTCTCCGACTCGAAATCAGGTTGACGACTTGATAGTTTAACCGCTATTGTGTCCTTCCGCACAACCCCCGAGTTGTCTATTTCTTGCAGGTTATGAGCCCGGTGTTCTTTTAGACACCAATCATCCTGATCCATCGATATCAGAAATTCAAGAATCCCCTTCGGCTTATCTTCGTCCGTCCTCTACTCCCTTCCTACCTCATCCAACTCTTCAAACATGTCTGCCAAAGGAAAAGAATCACCCAAAAAGTCTTCTCTCTCCTTCTCCACCCGCGTCAAAGACGACAAACCCATCACAATTAAGCTCGATAACATCCGTGTTCTAACCGGACAATCGAACTACAATATATGGGCAGCTTCAATGAAGCTCGTATGGAAAGGCATGAAAGTCTATGAAATAGTTGTTGATGGAGCGGAACCCTCTGATGACGCAGACGACGCCGAAAAATCCGCATATGAATCGCTATGCCATCAAGCAGCAGCTGTCTACATCCAGGTGGTATCTCAGGACATTTTGGAGAAAATTGTCGAGCTTGACCACCCCCATAGGATGTGGGAGTCTCTGCGTGGCGAATTCTACCGAGACACTGCTTTCGCACTCGTTTCCCAGATCATGTCCTTGGTCTCACTTCCCTCCTCCTACGATCCAGAAAAACCCATCTCTACATTCATCGCATCCTTCGAACAGGAATGGCTACGCCTTAATCAGCTGGCTAAATCCTCATCCGACACCTATCGCCAACTCTTCTCCAAATTCCTGGATGAAGACAAAGCAAAGCGCGATTTCCTCCTAGGTTTTCTCGTCCGACATCAGAAGAACGTTGTAGATAACCTGTCTACAAAAGATGATTTCACTTTTGCCGAAGTCAAACAACGTCTCTTAGATTTGGACCACGAGCAACCTCCCTCCTCTGTCTCCTCTCCTCCTCAAACGGCTCTCCTTACAACACAAAGAAGGAATGCCAGGCCTCCTCGTCAGCCCTCCTCTTCCTCTCAATCTGCATCTCGTCAACAGAAGCAGAAAGAATGTACCTGGTGTGTTAAACACAACCCAGGCAAACATCTAGGACATACGTGGAACCAATGCTTCAAGCTCAAGAAGCACCAAGAGGAACAGAAGTCTTCGGACAAAGGAAAAGAAAGAGACTCCGCTATGGTCACGACAGACTCGGGCAACGGAAAGGTAAAAAACACTTCATTCTATTTTGACACAGGAGCAACCTCTCACATGTGTCCCTCCCTAGGGCGTTTCGAACACCTCGAGAAATGTTCCGGATTTGTGAGATCCTCGTCTAAGGACTCCATGTCTGTTAAGGGAAAGGGAACTGTGGTGATGGACTGTGTACTTAGGGATGGATCTGTTTCTTCTTTTCATGTTTCCGATGTTCTTTATGTTCCTGATCTTGAGCGACCTTTACTTTCCTGGAGGAAAATTAGCGAAAAAGGGTATACTATGGTGGGAGAGGAGGATTTCATTTCTATTGTTAAAGGGAATAAAACGATTTTCGAAGCATCATTTGACGGTTCTTTATTTAAGATCCCTGAGGTTACCGACTCTGCTTTTCTCACATATGACTTCTGGCACTCAGCTCTAGGACACCTAGCTCCATCTTCTATTAAGAAAGCTAAAAACCTTTACGCTGACGCCACTATCATCCCTCCTGCCCCTGATTCCTTTCACTGTTCAACCTGTTCACTCGCTAAGTCTACACACCATACACCACTATCTACTAATACTCGAGCGGAAACCAAGTTGGAACTCATTCATTCTGACTTATGTGGACCTTTTCCCGTTCCTTCTTACGCAAACTCCCTCTACTACATTTCCTTCGTTGACGATAAGACCAGAATCTCATGGGTTCGTTTTCTCAAGAAGAAATCCGATGCAGCTAAGGCTATTGAAGATTTCGTGACTGAGATGGAACTCCAATATGGCTTGCCGGTCAAACGTTTTAGGACAGATAATGGAGGAGAGTACGTCAATGGAAAGCTATAAGAATTCTTTGCTTCTAAGGGAATCGTTTACGAGTTAACCCCTCCTTACTTTCCGGAGTCCAATGGTGTTGCTGAAAGACTTAACCGAACAATGGGTGAAACAGTTAGGACCATGTTGCTTCCTCTCAATGATAAGCGACTATGGGCAGAAGCAGTCTCCACCTTCGTCTACCTCAAGAACCGCCAACCTCATAAGTCAGTCAAGGATCAAACTCCTTATGAGGCCTTCCTCGGTAAGAAACCATCGATCCACCACCTTCAGCCTTTTGGTCGAGAGTGCTACGTGCATATCCCGGAGGACAAACGTCCCGCAGGAAGCAAGCTATCTCCCAGGGCTATGAAAGGTATTTTCATAGGATATACAGCAACCGATCGCCATTATAGAGTATTCCTTCCTTCAGAAAAACGAACAGTCGTCTCTTACGATGTCTTTTTCCCTCCTCTTGCGACAGAAGGGGTACCTTCAGTTCCTGAACCCCTCTCATCATCTTCGTCTTCAACTCAGTTTAACGACCCTCAAGCATTTCAGCCCTCCACAAGCCTTTCTTATAATCTCAACAAAGAAGGTTTCCCAACTTCGGACATGTGGATAGCTTGGATTAATAGGAACCCCGAGACAGCAGCTGACTGGTATCAAAGGGGTCATCCTATCGTTACTGCACTCATGAACCATCAGTTGGACGAAGAACGCAAGAACGATGCTCTATTCTCACCACCTTCTAATACATCCTCCACTCAGTCAAATACCAAGTCAGAAATAAACCAGGAACTCTTCTCCGGTTTCTCCTCAATGCAACAGCAGCAACAACATCAAGACTCCGTACAATCAAACGGATCTTCCTCCTCCTCATCACCTTCACTCCCTCCTCAACATAACTATCCCAGAAACGAAACAATCATCTCTTTTCACGACTCTTTTCGACCCAGTCCTCCAAGGACGAGACTACGAACAGGCACAGCTATCAACCCTCCTGGCGAATGGTGGAAAGCTCCTCTAACAAGGGCTCCCTCACCACCACCTCTCGCATCCAGCGATCAACAAATGACTGACGCCAGTTAACGGTCACCTGATACCTCTTCGTCCTCCACCCAAAGCGACCAGCTAATGCTGGAAGCTCCTCCACAAGAATCGGAACGAGAAGAGACACTCATTAGTATCCTAGAAGTATCGGAGCCTAAATCATATCGTGAAGCCAAATCCTCACCGGACTGGCCTGAATGGAAAAAGGCAATGAACGAGGAACTAAAGTCACTTAAAGAGAATGAAGTTTGGGAAGTTGTTGACAAACCCAACCGAAAGGTTGTGGATTGTCGATGGGTGTTTAAGGTTAAAGGCAACGCTAAAAGAGAAGTAGAACGTTACAAGGCTAGACTTGTCGCCAAAGGCTTTTCTCAAGTTCAAGGGATGAACTACGACGAGATCTTTTCACCGGTTGTACGTTTCGACTCTCTCCGTTTACTTCTTGCCATTGCTGCTTGCAAAGGATGGCGTGTCAGACAACTCGATGTCAAAACCGCTTTCCTATATGGTATCTTGAAAGAAGAGGTGTATATGCAACTACCGGAAGGCAGCCGGTTAGAAGGTAAGGTTGCGCGATTGAAACGATGTATATACGGTTTGAAGCAATCACCAAGGGAATGGTACTTTCGGCTGGTTGAATACCTTATCCCCTATGGTTTTGCTATTACTGCCTTTGATCCCTGTGTTCTTGTCCATGACTCAGGTAAACTAATTATAGCTATTTACGTGGACGATATTACTCTCTTTGGACCTCCTAGCGACTTAGAAGAACAGACAGTTTCCCTCTTGAAAACCGAATTTAAGGTTAATGATATGGGACTTCTCAACTATCTCCTCGGCATCCAAATTGACTATACCAATGCCGGTATCACTCTCTCGCAGACAGCATTCATCAACAAGATTCTGAACCGATTCTCGATGCAAGATTGCAAGCCCGTCTCCACTCCTATCGATCCTAACCACCGATTGATTGCGACTAGTGACGAAGACGACAAGGCCGATGCAACTGCCTATCAACAAATCATCGGATCTCTCATGTATCTGGTTACTGCGACAAGACCTGACCTAGCGTATACAATAACTCACCTCTCTCAGTTTAACTCCAATCCTTCTATTGCACATATGTCCGCCGCTAAACGAGTACTCCGCTACCTTCAAAAGACCAAAGAAAAGGCACTCCTATTTCCATTTGGTTCTGACCTCAAGCTTTCGGCATACAGCGACTCATCCTACGGAAACTGTTACGATACACGACGAAGCTTTTCTGGATATCTTTTCCAACTTGGTGACTCCACCATTTCCTGGCGCTCTCGAAAACAACGCTCAGTTGCTACCTCTACTTGCGAAGCCGAGTACATGGCACTGGCTATGACCACCAAACATCACCTTTGGTTAACTCGAGGCCTCAAGGAACTCCTCAAGGACGATACTCCACAAGCCGTATTCTGTGACAGTAACTCCGCCATCGATGTCGCCAACAATCCGAAGCTTAACGACAAGACGAAACACATCGATATCGCTTACCACTTCTCTCGTGAATGCGTTCAGAATGGTTCGATTAACCTCATGTACGTTTCTACTGCGGAAAATCTAGCAGACATTTGCACCAAAGGACTTGTGAAACAAACTCACGACCACTTGTGCACCTCTATATTCGGTACCAAGTGTGAAGGGGTGTTGGAATTTACGGTGAACTTTGTTTCTTTCATTTACTTCGTTAATATCTGTCTATCTCCATACATTTCATTACGAATCATTTGATAAGGAATACAGGGTTTATACCGTTAACTATTTTCTTTTGGGTTTCTATTACGTTTCTACTTTACATATGGGTTGTCATCTCGGGTATTACTTTCCTATGTTGGAACATTGAGTCATATACTTATGTACGTGATCGGACACTTACGCAACCGACACTTTTCTATCTGTTTCCATACTTCTTGGCAGTTTCTCAGGGTCAAATGGCTTTCCCACCTGTTTAGTTCTCTTTTCTTTCTCGGTTGGAAGGGACACGGTTCTTGTATAAATATCGGGCTGTTTTTCTCTTTCTTCTGACTTTGTCAATCAAGCGATACATATAATATAGACATTAGAACCTAGCTTTCCCGCTTTCGTCTCTCGTCTAAATTCTTTGAATTCTCTCCGACTCGAAATCAGGTTGACGACTTGATAGTTTAACCGCTATTGTGTCCTTCCGCACAACCCCCGAGTTGTCTATTTCTTGCAAGAACGTTGCCCGGAAGACCATAGTCCCAAGTCAAGTTCTCACTCGGTCCAAGTCTAGTGCAGTCCGCTCAACAGGCCCAGCAGCAACAGGCCCAGCAACAGGCCGCTCAACAGGCCCAGCAGGCTCTACTACTCCCTCACCAGCACCCGTCAGTGCTCCACCGAAGGTTCTTGCACCGGAGACCCCTACATTCAAGCCCCGACGCCCCTCTCGGTTATTTTCTAGTGCAAGCCCGTCCGAACTAATAGACCACCCCTCACCAGTACGACAGAGACTAATTAGACCCGAGCCATCGCCGATTGTCCAAGAGGCGTCCCCGGGTGTTCAAGAGACATCCCCGGGTATTCAAGAGACATCCCCGAGCTCGACCGCATTCGAGGTGACTCAAGCAAGCGAAGCGGAGGTGACTTTAGGTCTACTCAACCTACCTAGAGTGTACACCAGCATCAGCAACAGCCTAAAGGCGGAAATGCAAAATGTGGGTTGGGTCAATAAAAGCACGTCCGGTATGGCTGCGTTCAATGCCCTATGCCTTTACTTGATGAACTTGCCCTCCCTCAACGGTTTTCTGCCAATTTGGACTGGGGGTGACTCCGATGCCCGTAGAGCACTGGCGAGTGCTCTACAGTGGCTCATCGCAGATGTTGGTATGAAGGATAGGTTATCAAGGGGACAGGGAGACCGTCAGTTCAAAGAGGCTGCCGGTGATAGTGATGATGATGATGACGGCGGTGGTCAGGCAGCCGGAAGACGCTCTCGCAAAGGGAAAGAGCGTGCAGTACCTCCGGAACTCGTGCGACCTTCCATAATGGTTACCGTGGTAGACCCCGATGCTCTAGGGGCATTCTTTATGCTCGTCCCACCACCTACTTATGACTGGAATGATCCCCTGAACGAACCTTCGTTCATCGGAATTTTGACCAAGATAACTTTCCCCGAGCTATGCAACTTGATCCTGAAGCACACCGCACCCGGCAGAGCAGTCAGGACTATCTGGGGGGCAATTGAGAATGTCCCCCCGGCAGCTGTTCCTCCTGTTCAGCCGGTGGAGGTACAAATTACCGATTCAGAGGAGCTCGAAGGTTGGTTGAAGAACAGCAATGCCAGGCCTCGGAGGATATTGGCGGTCCTCCACAGAGCAGGCGCGGGTGCTAACCTGGGTGGTGCGGAATCCCCCCGTTGAACCCGGCTTTCCCTCACGTTGAGGAAGATGATTATAGCATGATCGATATTCCTGCAGAGGATTCGGATTACGAGGAGGGAAAGCACCGGATAACTGCCAAAGGACTGAGGGTATATATGCCTAGAACTGATGCCAGTAATCAAAGGCTAATTCAGACTCTTGTTAGGCGTCGCGATAGACAGCAGGATGCTATCGACGATTTAGACCCCAAATACCTTAGGAAGTATCCTTTGGGTGTCGGGGTTGCTGACCCAAACTTCTTACAGGGGACGATCTGGACACCTGCCGGATAGCAGCCAAGAGAGCTGCTGACGCACTCGCGGCTGCTGGTGCTGGAGGTGGTGGTGGAGGTGGTGGTGGTGGTGGTGGTGGTGGTGGTGGTGGTGGTCTAGGACCTCCACCGCCTCCGGGCGGACCTCCTCCTCCTCCGGGCGGCGGTGGTGGTGGAGGACCAGCTGGAGGCGGTGGTGGTGGTGGTGGTGGGCCAGCTGGAGGCGGTGGTGATGGTGGTGGTGGGCCAGCTGGAGGCGGTGGTGATGGTGGTGGTGGTGATGGTGGTGATGGTGGTGGGCATCATTAGTTCCCTTTGGTATAATCTCGAACTTCCCTTCCTGCGGAATTGTCACTAACCTTTTAATAGTTGTTAGGATTACTCCCTGAGCACTCGCGATAGCTATTGAGGTGCGGTACGATTTGGTGTTTTGGATTTCCCTTTGTCTTGCAAGAGTATATCAATGGATGGGTTATATCGGATAGGATTAGATTAGATTAGATTAGATTAGATTATTCCAGGTAGTAATTGCATTGCTTTTATTTCAAAGTCGAATCAAACTCCTAGATTGCTCTCAGAGCACTCGGTACCGCTTCAGAAAGTGCAGTAAAACGAGTGATGATAAATGATGCGGTTGAGTGCAGAAATTGTGGTAACATAGGATGATCCCTGCCGTAAGAGGATTAGCGGTGCAAATTTTTCTTGATTAGCGGCGCAAATTTTCTCGCCAAGAATTGATTTCTAATCGAAGATATCGCGAGTGCTCCTAGAGCACTGCGGATATTCCTGCCAGTCATCAGAATGGCTCCCACCAAGCGCTCCTCCGGTTCAGCACCCCTTGCCCCAAAGCGCCCACGACTCCCAAAACGACCTGAAGAACATGAAGATTTACTGACTGACGAGTCTGAAATATCTTACCGAACATTGACTCCACTGCCAGCCCGCACTCGGAGTAGTCAATCGACCACCGCCGCTCAAATACCTCGGAAAGGTCTTCTCCGTTCCTCCGAAACCCCCACTGGGGGGAGCAGTCCTAGGAGGGTAGAATTTCATCTCCCCGAGGATCATACTGATAATTTTGAAGCGCAGGAGGAGCCTGAGGCAATTGAGGCGCCAGAGGCAATTGAGGCGCCAGAGGTGGAAGAAATAGTTGATACTAGCCACTCAGACTATGATGATGCTCCGGAGAATGACCACGAGAGCTCTAAGGAGGATGAGGATGAACCGGAGGATGAACCTCAAGCCCCCCCCCATCTTACCCCCAGAAGTCTCAGACTGTCGGAAAGAGACCTCATACAGTTCAGCCGACTACTGCCAGAGCACTGGGCAATGCTCGGAGGAAACCAACTGGCGCGGTAGCGGAGGTCATTGCTTCTTCCAACGTGCCGGTGGACGTGGTACAGGTTCGACTCTATCTCGCTCATTGATGCTTTTTAACATGTAAGTATTAGTGGCTAACGATTCAGAGGGGAACTCGACCGGGCGCGAAAGTAATACGTAAACAAGGTCAAGGGAGAGCAGCACCCACTTCAGCACCCAGCCAGAATGCATCCCAGAGAGTACTCCCGGCATCCCAGAGAGCACCCCCAACACCCTCACAGTCTAGGCCCTCTGCACCTGTTTATGCTCATGAGTATACCTCTTCTACGCGCCATATTGATTTTTCCTCGATGCGCTCTCGATACGGGGAGTCCTCCCCCACTTACCGGACATATCGTTCTTCACCGCCTAGCGAGGTAATTGGCGAGAACTCTGTGAGCAGTCGTCAGATTCCTTCAAGCCAACTTCACGGTCAAGGTAGATCGCGAAGAGTCTACGAAATCGAGTACCTTTCCTCATCTAGGGGGGGGGACGAGAGTACTCCGATGCCGGAAAGCGAGGGTATTTTGATTCCGGGAAGCGAGGTTAGTATTCCGGAGGACACTCACGACGTCTTTGAGAACACTGGCGACATTCCTTCGAGCCAATTGACTCAGAGGTCTGTGGTCCCTAACTCTAGGAGTGCAAATGTGCTGTCAGTGCAGGCTCAGAGGATTGAGAAGGAGTGTAGCGTGTTAATCGGGGAGCATACTCTTCTACATGAGCCCTTTCCACCTGAGGCAAGACTTTCGGTACTAGTAGTGAGCATGTGGGCAACTGCTAGTCGCCGAGTGGGGTGTAGAGTAGACCTTGATGAGGTCGTTATTAAACAGGTGAGTGCCCCCAAAAGGATTACGAGTGCTCTGGAAGCATAATTGAGAATGATAGGTCAGAAGTCTGCACTCCCGTGTCCGTTCCCACTTGATGCACGAGGTGAAAGGGCGACTGGCGGACTCTACGATATACGGGCTTGGAAATTTTGTGGGGCCTGAGGCGAGGGTGGCTCAAGTGGAATACCTTTTGAAGAATGATCGTTTCTTGAGCCCCCAACAGCATTACGAGGTATGATGCCAGTGGATGCCCAGAGAGCACTCGGGATAGCCGGTAACAGATTCTAGACCTACCGACTGCGCTTCCTGGCTCCGGAAATTATCGATATATTGTATTTTAAATACTTTGATGGGGTAAGAATGCGAGGGGTTAGGGATCCCGAATTTCTAGAGCGGATAACCCCTACCCTTATTTGCCTGATATCGACGGCAATCTGGCACGGCATTCGGGCGTGGTCAACAGGGAGTTACGTGAAGCCTGATAATTTTCAGTCGCAGAATGAGAGTGTTGTGAGTAAGTATGGCCCGATGCCCTCATTGATATGGCGAGTGCCTTGGGAGCAATGACGGATGCTCCTAGGGCTATACGGGATTGCCAAGCTGACATCCAAACACGAGTAGAAACGTTCAACAGGATGAGCAACACTTGGAAGGGGAGAAGTAAACAGAACCAGGAGGCAACCTTGGAGGTAATCAAAGATAACCTTCGAGAAAAGGTATGATACTTCTAGATGCCGGTAATGCGAGTGGTATTCTAAATGCTAACCCTAATAGATACGAGATAAAAAAGGGGTAACGATTGAGATTATACCGGAGGAGGGTTCTAGCGAGGACGATGAAGCTCTGGCTGCGGATCTTGCCGCATTCCGAGATGCTCGGAGAACACCCACGAGTGCTCCAGGAGGTCGGGTTGATTCCGACAGCGCCCAGGACGAAGTGATTAATGCCCGAATTCGCGGCATTGACACCGAAGAGGAGGGGGAGGAGGAAGAAGAAGAGCCGGAATTACCTGTAGCGGGGGATTAAGAAGGGGGGGGGGGGAGGAGGATGTGTAGAACAATCACGAGTGCTAAGGGAGATAGTGGGGGATTTCTTCTGATTCGTATATTGTATTAGGGTTAGTTAGGGTGTTAAATGGCGTATTGTATTTAGTATTAGGCAGAGGATCACGATGTTGAATACACCAATTCTCAAAGTGCAGTCGCGAGTGCTCTGGAGACAGTAGAGATCGTCGTGCGAGTGATGTTTTTGTAATCTCATGGGGGAATTGTGAATACCAGAGGCCGGAACGGCGGAGAGGTGTATGCCTAGAGAGAACGGGGCGCCGACATGTAGGAATCGGTACGTCGGGCATGAGCCAGATTTCAAAGCACCCCATCCGGCAACGTCAGGGGGAGTCAGGGCAATCATTCTATCCCCAGAGCCCGCTGGAGCAGTGAAGAGTGCTCCAGGAGCAGTCAGGATATCCAACCGTGCAACTGGCATTCTCTGGCGGGTAGAGTGACGTCCTAGTTACACCGGGCGCTATTATTTAGTGTCGGGGCCCGTTGTGCGGACTAGTGTGCGCTGGGGCGGAATAATGTGCGCCAGACCTCGCCAGGAGCACTGGCGGTATCTCTGGAGAGGTAGTTTACCTACCGAGCGCCCTGAGCGCCCTGAGCGCCCCGGGCGTCTGGCGAAGGCTACAGGTTTGCTGATGATAGTAACGTGTTAGCCTCTCCCATGCCAGCCCGAGCTGAATAAAAGAAAGCTAACTACTTGGTTAGTTCAGCATTGAGAGTGGTCCCAGATGTTCAGGTAGATTTTTTCCTTTCGTGGGGTTCTTTAAGCGAGGAGCTTAAAGTTATACTATAATGGGGGTGCTAGGATGGGGCACGACCGTGACTTCGATCAAAATAGAAATAGTAAAACAGGGAACGATGGGTTATCATTGGGCTTGTTCGATCGAAAGATGGAGTTTTTTTGTTTGTGTAACGGCAATATTGTATTTCGGCTAAGATGATAGATTAGATTGTGAAGAGGAGATATTGCGCGGTTGAACTCTGATTTGTCATGGGCTTTCTGTTATGTACTTTCAGTTTCCATTACGCGGGGTATTAGTCATCAATGGACTAGGAGTTGGATATATAAGGGGGCGTTGTCTCGTGCCTTTTCATGTTTTCCTTCCTTTCCTCTTCTCCTCACGCAACTTCGTGTACCTAATCCACGAATACTACTTTTGTTCTACGCCTCATCATAGGGTTCAACTAGTTTGTCATACTAGGTAGAGCCACTCCATAGCCCATAGTCTTGAATACCTATTGCCACGTTCTCGCCTCGGTTGTATTCCTTGGCACCATAGTCCCTACGTCCATCGACCCCCGTTACACCAAGTTGCGTCCATCTATCACCAACCAATACAACACTATAGCCTACAATGTCGGAACACGTTCCTATTGATTACCAACAACTAAGCGACACCCTTCAAACCTTCTTTCAAGAACAACCACAGGTCGATAATACTGTCGGGATAGAAGCTTATGCGCTCCTTCAAAGGGCCCAACATGGTCTCGCGCAGTATGCAACGGACTTACAAGAGGTGGAGAGAGAGGCTGGAAATGCAAGGGAGATGTTCGAACGAGATCTTGCGGCTGCTCGAACCCAGCGGGTTGCTGTTGAGGTAGTTGCCCCTGATGAAGAACCGATTGGGGGCGATGATGCCCCACCTGCGCCCCCAATACCACCCGTTGTGGCTCCTACCCAACGGTCGGAGAAGCTCCCAGATCCCGAAGTGTTTAGGGGAGACCGCGATCGAGAAAGATTACACCTGTTCAAGCAACAGATGAGGATTAAGCTATTGGGAAATGCCGACCGCTTCCCCACACTACAGTCCAAGTTATCCTATGCATTCAGTCGACTGGAGGGTGTTGCCGCTAATCAATTCTTACAATACGTTGGAGAAGAAGGCATCGGTTTGCCTTCCATGTTACGGTTTTATGAAATCTTAGATACTGCTTTCGGGGACCCTGATCGGATGCGCACGGCTAGGAGGAACCTTAGGAATATCCGTCAACGAAACCGAACCTTTGCTGATTACTTTGCCGAATTCCAACGGTATGCTGCCGAGTCAGGGATGGATGA